CTGCTTCTCCCTCTGACCCTCCTCCCTCTCATGCTCTCTGTCTCTCATTCTCTCTCTCACAAATAAATAAATAAAATCTTTAAAAAAAAAAAAATTAAAGAGGCATATTTTTGTGTGTAACTTTCCCCCTCCTATCTGATTTAAAAGACAACTGTATAAAGCAAAAACTATAAATTTATGTTGATGGTCATACAATGTATAAAAATATAATATGTACAACAATGGATAGTGCAAAGGAGGCAAGAGGGAGTAGAGCTATATAGCAGCAAAGTTTTGTATAGTATTTAAATTACATTAGTAAAAATTCTAACTGGATTGTTATAAGATTTTAAATATAACCTCATGGGAACCACTGAGGAAATTAAAAAAAAAAGTAAAGACATGACAAGAGAATTAAAATGGTATGCTAGAAAATACCTGTTTAACATAAAAGAAGGCAGTAATAGGGTAATAGAGGAACAAAAAAGATATAAGATATAGAAAAAAATAGGAAAATAGCAGACATATATCTCACCTTATAGTAATTACATTAAGTGTAAAAGGATTAAACATGCCAATCAAAAATCAGAGATTGGTAGGATGGATAAATTGCCATAATCCAATTATATTTTGTCCACAGAAGACACACTTTCTATTAAAAATGCAAATTGGTTGAAAGTAAAAGGATGGAAAAAGATATATTATGCAAACTAACTGAAAGAGAGCTGGAGTGACTATACTAATATTAGATGAAACAGACTGATAAAAATTGTTACCAGATACAAAAGTACATTTTATAATGCTAAAGGGTCAATCCTTCAGGGTAACAATTATAAACCTATATGCCCCTAACAACAGAGACTCAAAATACATGAAGCAAAAACTGACAGAATTGAAGGGAGAAATAGACAATTCAACTATAATAGTTGGAGATTTCAGCACCCCACTTTCAATAATGGATAGAGAGTAACTAGACAGATAAGTGAGAGAATAAAAGAGTTGAACAACACTACAAACTGGCTATATCTAACAGACAGCTATAAAATACTCCACTACTAACAGCAGAATACACATTCCTCTCAAATGCACATAGAATATTCTCCACGATAAAACATATGTTAAGGTGTAAAACAAGTCAGAAATAAATTTATAAGGATTGAAATCATAAAAATTATGTTCTCTAACCATAAGGGAAAGAAAGTAGGAATCATTAACAGCAGGAAATTTGAAAAATTCACAAATATGTGAAAATTAAATAATGCATTCCAAATAACCAATGGATCAAAAAGGAAATCACAAAGGAAGTTAGAGCAAAATTGGAATTAAGACAAATTGACCCCTGAGATCTTTACAAAATATCATCCTTGGAGGACAGTCCCCAGGAAACCCTGCTGGTAGGGGTCAAGGAGCAGGGGCCTTGTTGAAGTAAACTTCAACCGATACCTCCCCAATTCAAGACCTGACATGGAGGTTTCCTCTTCTCATTTTGATTGTGAGGTTTTCCAGGCAAGACTCCAATGTTGGGTCCACACACCCCAATACAGTGCTAGCTGTTCCCTCCTGTCAACCAGCTCATTAGAAATTGATTTCCTCCCTCACTGCTGATGAATCTCACCCGCCCTGGTCCATTTGCCAAATGCAAATGGTGTGTCAGCCCCAGCTTCCAGAGGCCCTGCCTGTTGTGTAGGGTGGAGGTGGGATTAGGAGGCATGTACAGAGGCTGAGTGAAGGCATTGAGCACTGGGAAGAAAGAGGGCTGGACTAGGTGTCCAGTGTTATTCTGTGCTTCAATGCAGAGTGAGTGTCTCTGAAATCCTAATTGCAAATGTCCCCTTGTGTCCAGGGTTCCTTTGATGATGATGGTGGTGGTGGTGATGTGTATGTGTCTCACATGAGCTTTCTCAGCTCTAGAAAGAAAAGAATTTCAAGATTTTTCTTTATTTAGGTATAAAAAAAAATACAGTACATCCCATGCACCAGTGTGGCCTATATATAGTCATTATCACTAGAGTAATTACTACAATGATAGGAAAAAGAAGGTTACAGGAATTTGTTCATCCAACTAAAAAACCCAAATTAAAGTTGTTAACCTAAATAGCAACCCGCTTATTATGCAAAAACCCTTATTCTATATGTTTGTGAGAGCTAGAAATATGTAAGTTTTATTAGTAAAGAAAAAAATTACAAAAACTAGATATTGGTTAAAAAAAAAAAGTCAGTGTTATTTACAATCTCCTGAAGTGTGAGGGCCCTTGTTCAGAGGGGAACCTCAGTCCATGACCAAGGGTGAGTTGGAGAGTTTCCCTCCTGTCCTGCCCCCTCTTGTTGAGTGATGCCACTTCCCCAGGACATGTTTGCAATGTAATGTTCCATATTTGGCTGAAAGTGGGAGATGCACAGATAACCACAGGGCGTGGACAGGGCAGGGGCCTTGCTTTTTGCAGGGTGTGGGGGCCCTGCAGGGGTTTCCTGAGATGTGGCAACAACGAGGTGCCTAAAGGCAAATGGCACAGTTCTGTAGTGCAGTCATGTTTGGGTTTGGACTTTGGCCAGAGTTGCTGAGGGTCAGATTTTGAGGGCCTTGAAGTCAAGAGATAAGGAGTAGATCGAAAGAGAGAAAGAGCATGAGTGAGTGACCAGGCAAGGCATATAGGGGAGAGGTCTTCTGTTCTGGGAACATCTGCTCCACTTCCCAGGCAAAACTGGAGGGGTTGTCGATGAGTCTCAAAATGGGGGGTCACAGCTACTCCAGGCTCTCTCCAAAGGGTGTGGGTGTGGAGGTTGCCCTCACCAAGTGATCTGTCACACTTGGTCTCCACTGTCCCTCCAGGATGGATTCACAGTTGCTTCAAAATTCAACAAGCCATTTTCCTGACTTTGGTTGAATTTTCAGTGCTTAGTACAGTAGTTATGGGCATGGCAGGCCAGCGAGGTCATTTCAGGACCCACCTTCTATAGCTGTCAAGGGGCCCCCTCCTCCTTCTTGACGGGACTGGGGAGAGGCTGGGAGTGGTAGGGGACTTGGGAGAGTGGAGGAAGTTGAAGCAGGGTAGGCTGATGGACAGTTCCAGTCTCCCGTGGGACTGGGCTGACAGAGAGTTTTGCCCCACAGGCCATGCCATCCAGCGCTTTGCCTCTAGGCAGACAGGCACCAGGACCTCCCCGACCTCCCCAATCTCACCAGGGGGTTCAGGGATTTCAAAGGACTATCTCCCCCTGGAAATTGAACATAAGCTGCTTTGAGGAGCCACAGAAAGGCTTTGAGTGGGACCCGTGGTCCCAGGGGACAGGGTTATGGGTGTCCGAGCCCAGACAGAACCCCAGCCTGGATCTTCCAGCATTTGGGGGGTAGCTGTCACTGAAATATGTTCCTGGACCTTTCAGGGACCTGGAGTTTGCTACCCAAGGTGGTGAAGTCTCTGGGACCCACGAGGAAGGGCTGCTGGGCTGGGGTGTCAGTGCTACAATTTGCGGGCTCAGTGCCTGGTGTCCGACTGGCCTGAGCTGCAGTGGTTTGGGTCCCCAGACGAGAGGCCCAGGGCCCCCTAGTACACCAGCTCCTCCTGGGGGTCTGAGCGGTACAGCTCCGCCAGCATCTTGAACCTGGGCCCCCAGTCGTTGAGGAAGTCGTAATCGATGTCCGAGTCGGATGAATCGGTGCCCAGGGAGCTGAGGGACTCGGCGATGGACTCGGCACCCTCGTAGCCGTAGATGTGCAGCGTGTCGTAGGGCGGGCCGCCGCCGTCGTGGTCCGCCTCGTCCTTCTTCACCTCGATCATGGCGGCCATCTCCCCCGGCCCGCCGTGCGTTACGGCGGGCGCGTGCCGCGGCGGCTTCTGCAGCTGCGCGTAGACGGACGGCCGCGCCTCCAGCGTGGGTCGCGGGGGCTTGGCGCCGCCGTGCCGCACGGAGTTGAGCACCGACACGTCGTAGCTGGTGGTGTCCATCTCGCCGCCGCCCTCCTCGTCGTAGGTGACCAGCTGCTCATGGATCTCGGGCACGCTCTTGCCGTGGGCGCGGGCCTGCTTCCGGAGCCGCCGCCGCAGGAAGATGAGGAGGGTGATCACTGCAGCGGGTCAGAGCCAGTCAGACCCGGCCCCTGTGGCTCACCTGCGTCCTCCCCTCCTCCCAGGAAATGGCCGCGCCAGCCCAGCCTCTCAGCCGACGCAGAGGTTGGTTCGGGCCAGACACTTAGTGGGTACCCGCGCCCCCTCCTCCACCTTCCATGGGTCAGAGCCAACCCCCCTCCCCCCACCTCCATGGGACAGACCCATGATGACTTCTCTGCTTTGTTTATATTTGCTAAGGTAGTTGGGAGGTTAAGTGCAATTCTGTGTGTGGTGGTGATGTCATTATCATTATTATCACTCATTATTATTAAAAGGGGGTCTGAGTTTGGACTCTCTGCCAGGGAAGCGCCAGGATGGTGGCACACCCAGGGCGGGCACAGGCAGGAAAAGCCTGGAGCAGATAATTGCGGGTGCCCCCACAGCATCCCCGGGGCCTTTCATTTTGGTGCACAGGGCGATCCCTAACCTTCCTCTAGAGGGCCGGCCCCTGCCCCATTTCAGGGCTGGTGAAGTCCAGGAGAATTTATTCCCTTGGGAGAAGCCCTCAACCATCAGCTGAGGGGAGCTGGTGGATAAACACCTGCTGTGAGTGCCCCACTGCTTCCCCATCCCAGATGGCAGGAAGCTCCGGGGACCCACACCATTAACTTGTATTGACAACTCTCCCTTCATCAGCTGCTTCCCTTCCCTGTTTCACTCCCCACTCTTCCTTCTAGGGCTTCCTGGGAGCATTTCTAAAATAAATCACTTGTACCCCAATCCTTGTCCCAGGGTCTGCTTCCCTGGGTAACCCCAAACAAAGCAAGGCCTAAAATGCTCCTAAAATTTCTGAGACCCAAACAAGGAAAAAAAAAAAAAAAAGAAATCAAGGCTGTAGGAATCCTAAAAAAGGCAGGAAAGCCACTGGAGGTGAGCTAAGCTAGAATTTTTTAAATTTTCCATTTTTTTTTTTTCCAAAAGAGGTATTTTTTCCAAAATTGGGTTCATGTAAATAAATGCCTAGAACGGTGCCTGGAATGTAGTAAGTGCTCAAAATGTATAAATTGAATGAATGAATGTCATTTATGTAAAGTATTTTAAAGTGTGGGAAGGGCCATGAACTCTCCCTTTCCCCACTTCTACCCCCACCCTTAGGATGCAGGCATCCAGGGTGATAGAGCTTCTATCCCTGTGTCCTGCTATGGAACCCTGAGGCCCAGGGTGGGATATGGGCTGGAGGCAGGGTTGCCCCTTGGATCTCTGGTCTCTTCCTCCTCCTCTGAAGTGCCCCCAGTGTCCCCTCCCCACCCTCCTGGGCACTGACCTGTGATGGTGAGGATGCAGAGGAAGATGGCTACCAGGACCTGGATGCTGACGCCTGCCTGGCCTGCCATCTCCTCACAGTAGGTGAACTCGCCATGCTCGTTGCACTTGCAAATGGTCACGACCAGCGTGCTGGTGCTTGTGAGGCTCGGCCTCCCATTGTCTGAGATGAGCACAGGCAGGTGGTGGACTTTGGCACGCTCCCGGTCAAACTGTCCATACTTGACTGTGATGTTGGCTGTGTTATCTGGAAACACCAGGGCTTCAGAGTCAGGCTCTGCTATCCAGAGTGCCTGTCTGCTCATCCACACTGACAGTGTGGCCTGCCTCCTCCAGGGAGGCCTCCATGACTGTGCCAGCCCACATGCAGCCTGGGCTGCTTCTCCGCCCTTTGCATCCCCTGCCTCAGTGCGGGTCTGTTCCTCCAGAGAGGGGATATTTTGGGCAGTGGCTTTGATCTAGCCTCTAAGAATGGCTTGGCCCAAATGTAAAATCCTCGCTTTCTGTTTCTGTGAGCAACCCATATGTCTGACCCCCACCTCCTCTTCCCTAACCCCGCTCCATTAACAGGTGGTTATCTTTTGGCTCAATTAATGCATTATACCAAGCTTCGACAATGGGGAAAAAGAAAGTGTTTAAAAGTCTTTTAGCACTGGGCTAATTTTGAAGGCTGTTTCTGCCATTCCTGAAAATCCACTAGAAAGTGAAAACAAAGCACTTGTTCCCTGGGGCACGGAGGGAGTGATGACATGGGTAACTGAGGATTTCCTGGGTAGGCTGGATGGAACCGGGAAAGTGCTCTGGCCCAAATATTGGCTCTCCTTCCCAGCTCCAATCAGTGGTTCCACATACAGAAGAATCCCCCGGAGAGCTTTTTAAGCATGCTGATTTTCAGAACCCTGCTCTCCCTTCCCCTCCATATCCCTCCCCTCAGCCCCCCTCCCCCTCTCACATTTCAGATTCAATGGCTCTGGGCAGGCAGAGGCCAGATAGTTTGCCTTTTGCAGGCTCCTGGGAAGTTATAATGCTGGCGGTCAGAGGATTTAGGGATTCCCTGCTCCAGGATTTATCTAGCCCCTCGGGATCAGCTCACTCAGGAAGCTGGTCAAAAGCAAAGGAGTCCATCATTTACATTTCAAATGAAAGCTAATTACATTTTGTTATTAAGTAACTATGTCTATTATAATCGAAAATAATAGCTACATGGCCACTGATACTTTATGAGAGAAATGAGTTTTCTCACTATACTCATTTACTATCATAATAGGACATTCATGTTGTAAGTGAATCTGGCACCAATAGGCTTGCCTCCTGGTTGTACATAGGGTGCCTCTGGGGTGGCACTTAAACTTTCTATCCCAGTGCAGACCCTCTCTGAAGTAGGATTGAGGTGAACATGGGGGGATGGGGTGACAGGTATTTTTGCCACATTGTTTACTGCTAAAGACAGCTGAGCAATTGAATGGTCTGTCATTGACTGCCAACACATCATGGCCGCCTTTCCCATCCCACAGGAGGCTCCTTAAGGATGGGTCTGTGGCTGATCCCCTGGGTCTGCCTCACACTGACCTTCCTCACAGGTGGCGGTGGCTGTTCCGTACAGGGATCCTCAGGTACAGGGATCCTCACTGGCAAAACCTCAGTTTTGCCAATCAGAGACAGGCAGGAATTCCGCCTCGCGGTGGGTGAAGGATGGCTCTATTGAGGCCCAAGAGGGATTTTTCTCTGTTTTTCTCAGGAAGCTGGTGAAGCCATGGAAGCCTGTCTACTTTTGGCTAGAGTTCAACCAACTCAGCATCATCATTCTTGTAAGCACATGCTCATCAGAAGCTCTGATCGGCCATTACTGACATCCCAGCCTCTGGGCTGTGAGGAGTGGACCAGATGCTGTCCTGGGGCCACCTGGTGGTAAGTAGTCATTGTAGCTGAATTAAGACAAAGTTCACTGTATTCTTGGCATTTGGGATTTCACATTTCCAATTTAGACTCTTTGGTAGTGACCTCAAAGTTCATAGAGAATTTGCAGTTGTGCTGAGCATAGAGATCTGGTGTGGAAAGGAATCCCTTAGCTCGTTAGTGAACTGAGCAAGTGTCTGCTCCCTATATCTATTCTATATTCCTTGCTGACCTGAGCATCTTCTGGGGAGTGTGGACTTGGCAGTTTGGCCAGGGCAGCTCTGACCATGGCACAGACCAGTAAGGAGTTGTACAAAATATCCCATAACTTGAAGACCTCAGTCAGGACCTGCTCCCCCATTTGTTGGCTTGGTCTTTGATATTGGTGCTTCCAGACTCCAATAACCCTGCCCCTGCCAGAAGCCAGGCTGACTACTTTGATGCATACCGTGATTATCTGTGAGGGTGAAGTTGCTGTCCTCGGTGCTCAGGGAGAATTTGAATTTCACATCTCGTGGCGTTATGTCCTTGTCTATTGCCGATATTTGCACGACCAGCTGCAGTATGGAAGATGGGGGACAGTCAGTGGTGGTGTTGGGGTGGCTGGGGGGTTAGTGGTGGTGACTTTGGGTTCAGACCTGACCATGGCTGCATTTCACCTGCAACACTAACCTAAATGGTCTCCACAAAGCCACTCTTTGGACCACCCTCCTCACACATCCCCTCTGGGCCTCAGTTTCTCGTGGGGATATCAGTCGCTTTCCTCAAGGCTGTCGTGCAAGTTACATTAAGCTCAGTGAAATGCCGGCTGGCTGTGGGTAGGAGGTGCTGCCTCTCAGCCTGTCCTCAGTGGGTGTGCCCCTCCCCCCGAAACTGAGCCAGACTCACCTTGCCCTGGGCAGCGTTCTCACACACTCTGGGCTCATAGGGCTGGGCGAACTCTGGAGGGTTGTCATTCTCATCCAAAATTTCGATGTGGACTTGCACAATGGATTCTTTGCCTGTGGGGTACCCTGCAGGGGGTGGAAAGGGCTCATGATGCCAGCCCCAGAGATAGAAGGTATGTGGATGGGGAATCCTGGAGGGGTGCCCTTTTTGCAGGAAGAGGGGATAGGGACCTCTGGAAGAGAGACCAGGGATGGCATTCTGGATGAAAGGGTGGAAGAGGAGAGAGGGGGGGCATCAAGCTTCATGCACAGGGATGTTTACTAAAGGGTTACTTGTAAGAATCAAAAAGTTAGACAATGCAAACCAATTAAAGAAGGTTTTAATTAAATTAACAATCAAATTGATCCAATAGTTTAAGTAATTACTTTAAATAAAAGTAATTTATCTAAATCAATAAAATTAATCACAAATAATTAAAAGGTAAACAACGTAAATGAGATGGGGTTAACAAATTAAACCACTTTAAAAGAATGGAATGTGTGGCCATTTACAATGCCCATGGAAATTACATTTAAAAATTGTAATAAAAAAAGGTATTTTAGTGCCATGAGAAAATAGTTCTGGAATAAGGTTAAGTAAAAATACAGGATATGATATTTATATAAATATGATGATCTCAGTTATATAAAAATATGTATAGAAATATAAAAGACCGGAGAAAGTACACTAAAGTGCTAACAGTAATTATCTCCGTGTGGTGGGATTATGAGGGGATGCTTTCTTCTCTTTTTCTGTATTTTCTCTCATATCTTATAATGAACAACAAACTATTACTTTTAAAGTTTAAAAATTGTGTGAATGAGATTAGATGGGGAAGAAAGGGCAAAGACTGATCTGGAAAACATGCGGGAGCCCATTGCAGTTGGGGCTTGACTGCCATGCGGGGAGATGATAAGTCTCAGAAGTGCAATAGGAGGCAGGGGCCCTCTAGGGTAGCACCAGGAGGGCCTTGGTCAAGTCACCCGCCCCTCTGAACCCTGGTGGTCTCCTGGGTAAGGCAGGCATATTAATCCGTCTCCTGGAGGGCAGCTGCGATTTTTCTCATGTTAAGTTTTATAAGGATGCAAAACTCCAATACTAGCCTTTCCCTCTGGCAAAAGTTACACTAAGCTGGAGAACCTAATAGTCTTGAAGTTGGAGGGTACTTCAGATTTTGAATTCAACCCACTGACCGGCATATAAATCATCTCCCTCCCCTCCCAGCGAACAGTCTTTTCCAAACATCCATGATAATAAAAATCATGTGGTATTTGTTTGATGTACACTCCTTGGCCCCATTTCTAGATCACTGGACCAGAACCTCCAGAGAAGGCTCTGTGTTTAAAAGGTGTCTTAGGTGATTCTCATCACAGAGACGTCTAGCAGGCTGTTTTATGACTGTGCTTCTTAAACTGGAATGTGCATGAGATTCCAATTCAGTCTGGGGGGTGGCCCAAGATTCTACTCTCCCAACAAGGTCTCAGGTGATGTGGATGCTGCTGGTCCATGAACAACTTGGAGATGGAGGCTCTATAGTTATTCCAGCCAAGTGGTGCTTCAGCAGGAGCTTATAATACCTCCAGAGATTGAGATGACAGATTGTGCCTATTTTGAAGGAATGAGGGAAAGGAGAAAAGCCCAGGTCCCCTGGCATATGGGGCCACTCACCACTAGAATCCAGTTCTTTGGCCTCCACTGTCAGGTTATACCAGGGGTAGATTTCTCTGTCCAATTCTTTCTCATTGTAAATGTTCCCTTGCTTGGTTATTCGGAAGAACTGGCCCTTGTCACTGGTCTTACGGATGGAATATCTGCCAGGGGAGAGAAATTCATGGTTTTCCATTGTTCTTTGCTGAGTGCAAACTTCTCAGCATGACTGATGAGGCCCTTCAGGATCTATCCCTTGCAGCCCCTCCATCCTCTTCTCACTGCTCATTGTGTTCTACCACCTAGCGGGATGCAGAGTGGTGGGATAATCCCATCTATTTTAGCAATGCTACCGGGGCTGAGCTGAAGGTGGTGCCTTAAGACTCCCTCGGTAGCACTTTGAAAGCTGAGGCAGGAGGTGCTATAATCCAGTACACCAGAGCTGGGGTTGGTTTTTGTGATTAATGAAAAGATAGCACTGGGTGTTATATGCAACTAATGAATCATTGAACACTACATCAAAAACTAATGATGTATTGTATGTTGGCTAATTGAACATAATAAAAAAAAAAAGAAAAGATAGCTGGACTGGAGCCAGGAAGAAATAAAAAAGGAGCTGGAATAGATAGGAAATAATTGAAAATAAATTAAGTTTATGAAGTAAAAATTTGAAAAGTTCTTCCAGAAATCAAGAAAAAGGTGTGAAGAAATGAGAGATGAATGTATATGAGATATATAACACATAATATATAACATATATATTTGCTGCTAATGATGAAAATTCCAGAACCAATAGAACAGAAGAAATAACAAACGATACACTAAAAGAAAACTTTCCTGATCTTAAGAAAGGCTCAAGTCTACAGATTAAAAGAAGTCATTAATATCAGGCATAATTTTCCAAAAGAGATCAATGTTTACCTGTATCCTGATGACACTTTTGAATTTCAAGGCTATGTGAGGGAACTGAACAGAGTCCAGACAGAAAAATATGTTCTTGTGAAGAAAATCAGATTCACCTGAGATGTCCCCACAAAATTAAATGCTAGAAACATTGATAGTATTTTTGAAGTGAAGTTTCTATACTCTGAGGATTATAGGAGCACATCTGGTGTTATTAACATAAGAAGGCAAAGGAACTAAGGTATTTGTAAACATACCAGAACTCAGGAAGTGTGTCACCCATAGAGGTGGGTCCTGAAAATTTTTTATGAAAACTTCATCCAACTAAGAAATACAAAGAAAAAGCCTTCTTTGGGAGGAATTAAAATGAAATGATTTATTTCTTTATCATACATAGGAAAGCAATTGTGTGTCTGTGTGTGTGTATGTGTGTGATATTTTAAAGTAGAAAATGTCCAGGAAAACATTTTTGATTTTACAGGTAGAAGTCAGTCTCATTGGTAGAAGTAAAAATGAATGTATTCCATTCAAACATCCAGGAGAAAAAAAATGAAAACAAAATAGAGTCTATAGCAAATATGGGGGAAAAGAAAAAAACCATAAAGTTTGAGAAATGAGAAATGTGTAACAAGATAAAAAAAGTAAGATCAAGCATATCATTTATGATACAAATGTAAATAGGTTAAACCCAAAGCATCTCAGTTTAGATTAAAAAGGAAAACCAACTACCTTCTATTTTCGAGAGACAACTTAATGCCAAGTGAAGAGCAGAAGTTAGAAAAGTTGAAAGTACAGGTTGGAAAACTTCTATCAGGCAAAGATAAGTAATAAGAAAACAGGACCGGCAAACTTGACATCAGGCAGTGTGGAGCTAAAGGTAAGGTATTTAGCAGAACAAATTGGGTAACTTCATAGGGATAAAAGTTACAAGTCATAATGAAGGTAAAATAGTTATGAACCCTTGTGAATAGAAAAATTAAAATATATAAAGCAAAATCTTAGGTATTCTAGAAAAAATGAATGCAAACACAGTTGTATTGTATCCCAGAACAAGTTAAAGCAAAAACAAAAAATACCCTACCACTGGTAAATGGAAAGAAAAACATCAAATCAATCTCTTAAATAAATTCTTGGATCAATAAAGAAATAAAAATTATCATTACAGTCTATTTACAATAGAACGGCCATGAAAACTGTAGTAGTCCCAGAGCTTGTGTGATGTGGCCCAAATCTCCATTTTTGGGGACATGTTTTTTGACCTTAGTAAGAAGACCTAATATCATAGAAATACTAATTCTCCCTGAATTGGTATAACACAATTCTCATTAGAATTCTAATTTTTTTTAAAAACAGATAAAATAATTTTATAATTCATATGAAAGAGTGAATGTTTGAGAATGCATAGAAGCTGTAGAAAGTAAAAAAAACAGTGAGGGAGGGACTTGGCTTATATCTGCTAAGTTTTAGTATAAAGCTGCTGCAATAAAACAGAATGGCTTTGCCACAGAACAGTGGACAGAATAGAGGATTCAGAAATAGATTCGTGTATATTATATAACAAAGGTGGGAAAATGAGGACCTACTTAATAAATGGTGCTAGGACAATTGGTTACCCCTCTGGAATAAAATGAGATTGGATTAAAATCAACTGCTACATGGCTCTAGAATGTATGAGTTAGATGAATATTTTTGGTCCCAGAGGGTAGGGGCAAGGAGTCCAGTGGAGATAGAACAGGTGGTGATAAAATGGGTGTGGTGTGATCCAAAACATTTTAAAAACAATCAAAATCCCCGAACAGATAGACAGACAGACACAACAAATCCCCCATGAATGTACATAGATGTTTGTGTAGTCATGAAGAAAAGGTGTGACAGGACCACCTCAAACCATGAACATGAGTGGGGTTTATTGATGTTTTCTTTGTCAATCTTTGTGTTCTTTCACTGTGAAATGAACACTTTCTCCTTTTGTGGTTTTGGGAAGGCAAATTTAGTAAAACATATTTAGTGGAGGGGTTTCTCAGTTGGTTACCCTCTTGGCCATCCGATCTCCCTAGATGGACCTGTGGGAGCTGCTGTAAGGTAGAGCAGCCCTGGACAGTTCTAATGGCCAGGACCATGCTGGGTGGGGTGCCTGGGCAAGACAGGATCCCACCTGGCCCCTCGCGTCAGTGGAAGAGCTTGGGCTTCTAGTCCTGCCTCTGCCATGTCCCATGTATGTGCCAGGAGAAGCCATTTTCCCCATTTGAGTCCTGGTGTCAGTCCAGCAAGTGTTAAGAACCTCAATGCCGGGATCGTCATGGTCATCACCACCCTTACGCCCTCTACCCACTTACCCAATGCTCCGCCGAGCTGCGTCAGGGTCTGTGGCCAGCACTGAGCCAATCAGAGGTTTCTTCTGGTTCTCCCGCAGCTGGAAGTGGTAGAAGGACTGCTTGAAGATGGGGGGCTCGTCCACATCTGTGACGTTGATGATGACACGGGCGGTTTTTCGGATGGAGACGCTGCTCAGGTAGTGGAGGTTGATGGTGGGGTCTGTGGCCTCTATGGTGAAGGTGTATTGCTGAATGTATTCGTAGTCCAGGGGCTGTGGAAGGGACAAGTATGGCGAGTACCTGCTCTGAGCCAAGCATGTGACATGTGATCTTCACAGCAACCCCACAAGTTTTACAGATGGGAGGGGTAGCTGTGGCCCAGAGAAGTGGTGTTTCCAGGGTCATCAAGAGGAGGGAAGGGGAGGGCGCCTGGGTGGCTCAGTTGGTTAAGCGACTGCCTTCGGCTCAGGTCATGATCCTGGAGTCCCTGGATCGAGTCCCGCATCGGGCTCCCTGCTCGG